AGATAAATTTTTCTGAAATTTTAAAAACAATATTCAAGTATTATAATTTAAATATGTTAATGAGATGAATGAAACTGCGATTTCATTTTTAAAAGTTCCTTATATTGAGGTTCGAAATGAGATGTACTGCTTCTAAGGAACGAGGCTAAATGCTCATCTGTCAGTCTACTTCTGAAATAATTCGTTTCTAAGATTCATAGTTGAAAACACTTGTTCACATAATATAAGATGAAGCAAATATAGCACTGATTTTCTGGGCGTGAGATGTTAAATTTGGGAAACCCTCTTTCGATAATGATTTGTAAAACTGTTGAGATATTTAGAAACAACTGCTTGAAATCATTGATAGATTGCAACTCAGTTAATTCAGGCTGTAAATCTGAGCTCACTGCGTGACAATTTACGTTGAAAGGCATGGTAAAAATATTCAATTCAATTCATCTTGAAATTTGTTCTGAAATCTTGAAATCTGCGTTCGAACTCAAAGTGCAGTTTTTTCAAGCCATTGTCATAATTTTTAAGCTTTTCTTCATTTACTGAGGGTATTGAATTTAACCTCGGGAAGTGAGACAAGTCGTTCTTATCTAGCAGCCCAGCAAACAGATTAAGTTTTAGTTAAAAAGATTTGAGGTGGGCCCAGATATCGTCGATAAATCGATTTTTCCCTTGCATCTTGACATTCAAGTTGCTCATATGACAAAGAAGCTCTGTGAAAAATGCAAAGTCCAAAAGCCATTCTGTATCTTCTAACATTTCGCACTCCGCAAAACACTGTTTCTCATGGAAGAACGGCACAATGTAGTCTTTCAACTGCCAAACTCATTCGAAAACACATCCTGCACTAAGCCGCCTTACTTTCGTGTAATACAGTGCATCAGAGTATTCAGATTGCAGGGACGAAAATCTCAAAATTGCCTGTGAGTAAGCCCACGAAATCGAATAGTATTTACAAGCTTCACGACTGCATCAAGCACGGGTTTCATATTCAATTGCATATTTACACAGAGTATCTTTATGTTTAATACAATGCAGAAAAACAACATTGTTCCCGGGAAAGTTTTGATTAAAGAGTATAGGAAAACCAGATTCGTTTTTCCTGTCATTTTTGTGCTCCATCGGTTGTAATATTACATATATTCGTTACAGGCGCTTTCAAAGTTAAAAGCTTTTCCTGAAATTCACGAAAACTATCACATCCCATTCTAGTTCCCTTTAAAGAACGTATGCATGCCAGTTTCTCGGTAATTTCAAAGTTCTCACAGTACTAATTGAGCAGTATCATTTATATCAGTGCTTTCATCCATAGCTATACAGCAAAATTTAAACTGGCCAGTCTTTGACTCTAATTGTGATGTCAAATTTTTATGAATATCTTCGATTCTAGAATTACCGTTTTTCGAGATAGCTTAAAGTCTCAAAATTATTTTTCTTGTCTGGACATAAAACATCACAAACTTGGAGCATGCATTGTTTAACGAACTCCCCATCACTGAGAGCTCCATTATTGTTAGCAATATTGTATGTTACAATGTAACATGCATGTGTAACTGCCTCTTGGATACTGTTTACCTTCTTGAAAAAATTTTGTGGGCCTGATAATTTTTTACGAAGACCTTCTGCATTTTGTTTTCTTTCATATCCGAACATTGCTTCTTAACTGGAATTCTTGTGCTTGGATTTGAAATGATGGGAAATGTTATATTCTTTGAAGACTGCTACAGCTTCATTGCAGACAAGACACGCTGGTTTATCTTTTACAACGGTTAAAAAAAAATATTTCCATCCCCATTCATCAGTAAAAGCACAGCATTCTGAATCAACTTTACGTTTTTTAATAGCAATTGCGAATTACCCAAACAAGCACTAGCTGCGCTTTTCTTTCTTTCTTTCCACCGACAGCGAGGCAGCCGGTCCACTGGGTGGTTAGCATATCGGCCAGGTAGCCCCGCTGACGGAACGGAAATAACTTGATCAAAATAACACACTTATAAATACATATTGTGCTCAAGACGACTGTTGGGGGCAGTGCAAACAAATGCTGGACGAAGACGATAGTGCATGATGGAAGAAGGGTGCATTGCGGGTGTAAAAATTTAATTGCACTCTAGTGATAGAGAAACATATATTGTATAGAGAACATAATGTTACTTATCTGAATATTCCGTGTCAGGGCCTCTTTTGGATTTCTCGTGTTGATAGTAAACAGCTAACAAAACACCTGAAGTTTCGATGAAGCGAAGTTTCCTTTTTCAATTTGATGAAAGAGACATTGCATAGGAAAGGTGCATTAAACTTTTTTAGAGAGTTGAAAATATTTACTGAAACAGTTATTTAAAAAATTTCGGAGCTATGTTTAGACACTGCCTCCAGCTTTCGTGATCGCAGCGCCATAGTTACATATTTACAGAGTTATGGATAGGTGGTTACAAATACTAAAAGTAATAAGAAGTAAAATACTAGAAAGTAAAACAATACATAAAATAAAAAAAAGGCAAAACAGTGGAAACAATACATAAAATAAGGCAAAATACATAGTTCAAGATTCATAATTCAAGGTTTACAGTTCAAGGAGATAAATATATACAGGGAATAAGAAAAGCCGAATAAGCTAACTTAAGATAAAATTAGTTCACTACAGGTACAAAGTATACAGGGGCTGTGCTGGTGACGAGGATGGCGGCTGAGAATTATCGCATATGCGTTTCAATGCACTGCGATTTTTTGAAGTAGCTTCGGCCCATGCATGGATGTGGTTTGTTACTGGTTGCCTAAGATGATATTTGCCGGTATACTTTTAAGGATTTCACCGCTATTCACAATGATGCTATATATCCGCAATGTTTCCATGCGCAATCAATAATATTGGAACTCGCGCCAAAAGAAAAAGGGCCACTGGGTGGAGCTTAAAATGCTCAATCTGCCACATATGAGGTCTAAATTCACCTACATTGGATTCCCAAATGTCTTCTTCCAGAGAAAGAGATAACGCTTGTTGGCGCCATTCTACAGCTATAACTAGCAAAGAACTTCCGAACATTTTACCGATTGAAAGCTGTCTATTGCTATTTCCGTCGATTTATGTTTTGTAGAACAAAAATCGAGAAGGTAAAAAGATCATCAATCCTTTGAAAAAAAAGGAAGAAAAAGAATAATATTTAAACAAAGTAGAAATGGAGATGGATGTATAATATATGAATATATATTTCTTTTAATTTGCCTCGGACCAACAAATTAAAATTCTATCCACGGGCCGGATAGGACTTTCCGGCGGGACGGGTTTGGCCCGCAGTCCGTAGTTTGCCCATCCCTGCCTTAGGCGTATAGCTTTAGTGTCATAATCTCTTTGCGATAATCGAATAAACCAACAAAGGCGAATCAAACTCAAAGCCAAATCGAACTACGGATTCCATATCTTAGAGTTTGGAAAATTTTGCGAAAATAGAATTATCCATTATTCATGCAATATACAGATTTCAGTTGTTGCGGAATTTAAACGAGGTTAAAAAAACAATGCTTTTACACTTCAGATGTGGCGATTTTGCTCAATAAGCGGCTCAAGGCAATTACTTATTTCTCCGAAAGGAATTTTGTAAAATATATATATACCTTCAAGTTTCATCGCGATGTCTTTCAATGCCATTTTATATATTAGGGAGTTTAAATATAGAGGTGAATTGCTTAATATAAAAAAGCATATATTATAATACACACACTAAGAAATAATGCTAGAAATAAATTCAAAAAAAAATGCTGACTATTAATCTACAATTTAATTGCTCAAACTTTACACAACCAGGTTCCTTGCTCGAAATACATAAACAGTGCTCAAAGAGCTGTACTTGTGCGACCCACAGTTTCCGAGATAAAGGCAAAAGAAAAGTTGACGTCATATCCGGTGCAAGAAAAAAACTTTATTTTGAACACATGAACATAAGTATTTGCATATGTTTATATAGGAAGGTGTTCAAAATGTTCACCGCGCATATCGAGGCATGCATCCGCACGCCGTCCAATGGCTAACTGCGCAGACTGCAGCAGTGTGGTGTCTAGTACGCAGCACGTAGACGACCAACCAACTCACTTTTCGTAGTAATTAGGTGCTGATAGAACCAATTCTTCCAGATGGCCCCATAGGAAGCAATCCAAAGGTATCAGACGTAGCGGCCATAAAACCAATCCAAGCACGCCGTCGAATGGCTAACTGCGCTGACTGCAGCAGCGTGGTGTCTAGTACGCAGCACGTAGACGACCAACCAAGTCACTTTTCGTAGTAACTAGGTGCCCATAGAACCAATTCTTCCAGATGGCCCCATAGGAAGATATCCAAAGGTATCAGACGTAGCGGCCATAAAACCAATCCAGCAACTTAGGTATTCCATATCCAGCTAATTACGTACAGAAGCGCTGGAGGTCCATTATGCTGGAACCATAGGCCATGTACTGCGATCAAAATGGATATTTCCATTGAAGTACGATACCCTACATTTTTTCCAGCTACAAGACTTCCTTTACTTCGTACAAGGAAGTAAAATAGTTAGAAAACGTTAAATTAATTAAAAGGGAAATGATGAATATTTTACTTCCGCCCCATCCCCCCCCCGAAAAAAAAAAGAACTGACGCTTCAGTATCGACTTTTTGATAGTGATATTTCAATTAATTTTTCCATTTCGTGGTATACAATTTTTCAAAATAATAACATTTCATTGTAGTTTAACCATTTAACCAATCCTCATAAATGGCGATTAACGGAATATTTTGATTATGATCATGAGGTATGGTAACTCAGGATATTTGTAAATTCTCTTTAAATTTAAATCTAGTATGAATTTTAAGAAATTTTGTTAGAAAGAATTCTTGTCGTCTGTCATCTTATGATATTTCGAAGCAATGAGTGTAGTAAAACAATATTGTCTGTCATAGAAATTTGTAATAGCCACGACAACATCCTGAATTTTGAAGACAACTTATTGAAGTCTTAGATTAAAATTTACATACGTACATGGGAATTGCCCCTGAAGATCATCATTCTGAAGCACGAGTGGTAAGCCGAGAATGCGCTCACTGATCCACGCGTTATACATGCGTAAAACAAAAATGGATAACAAATTTCTAATTACGAATCATATAACAAAATTAAATTTTTTTTATTTTTTTTTTTCGATGGTTACAGGGTACAAAAAGTATTTGCACACATACATTTTTGTTCACAATTTATAAGAAAATGCATTAAGAAATACAAAAATTGGCATTTAAAAATAGAATAAGCTTATTTCATTTAAATTAATTAAAAAAATACAATAATATTAATAAAAAAACATTTTTTGCAACAATATTAAAATAGCTTATGTCAAAAAAGTATTTGCACACTCAACTCAACTTTAGCAAATTTGCATTTTTATGCTATTATTTGACAGTCATCCCGCAGTAAATAACATACGTAAGACGACTATAAAGGAGGTGTTGTCGAAACGTTATCAGTTGATTGTCGATTCAAATTGTAATGGCACCTAAGAAATCTGAATTGCCGATTTCGTTGCGAGAAAAAAATTGTTCTCTACGTGAAAATGGCCTAAGTTATCGAGAAATAGGTAAAAAAGTAAATGTTTGCTTCTCTACTGTTCGGTATGTTATAAAACGAAAGAGGATCTACATCAAATAACTTGCGCTCTGGACGCCCAAAGAAACTTTCACTGCGAATGAAGCGAAAAATTCATAAGAGAAGCATCAAAAAGTCCATTTGTTAGTGCAATTACTTTAGCCAATGATGTCGCTTCAACATCTGGAGTTCAAATCTGTGCCCAAAGTGTTCGAAATGTCCTGCATGAATGCACACATTTATGGGAGATCACCAAGGAAAAAAAAACCTCTCATAACTGAACGAAATAGACTGAAGAGACTTGAATTCGCTAAGGAATATAATCAATAAGCCAATTGATTTCTGGAAAAATGTCATATTCTCCGACGAGAGTAAGTTCAATATCTTTAAATCAGATGGCAGGAAAATTAGTTTGGAGAAAACCTTGTACTGCTTTTCATACCCAAAAATGTGTTACCTACAGTTAAACATGGAGGAGGTTCTGTTATGATTTGGGGGTGCATGGCTAGCAAAGGAGTTGGTAATTTGTGTTTTCATTGATGGGAATATGACAGCTCGAACCTATATTGATGTGTTGCGAGATAATTTGCCACAAAGTGCAATAAAATTGGGTATCAGTAATTCGTACTATTTTCAGCAAGACAATGATCCCAAGCACACTGCCGGTATAACACGTATGTGGTTGCTTTATAATGTACCCAGAAAACTTGCCACTTCCACCACAATCACCAGACTTAAATCCTTTGGAAAATTTGTGGAATTCTTTGGATTTAAAAATAAGAAAAAGGAAGATTTCAAGCAAATCTGCTCTTAAACAAGCCCTTATTGAAGAGTGGTCGAATACTGACCCTACTGTTACAGAAAATTTAATTAAATCAATGCCAGCAAGATTACAAGCAGTAATAGATGCTAAAGGAATGCATACTAAATATTAGTTATTTGAAATTTGCTTATATATTTTATTTCTTTTGTATTCATGCAGGTGTGCAAATACTTTTTTGATATGAGATATTTTAATTTTGTTACAAAAAAGCATTGTTATTTATATTATTGTAATTTTTCTGTTTGTTTTGGATGATTAAACTTATTCTGATTTGGCAATACCAATTTTTTTATTTCTTAATGCTTCTTTTTATGAATTGCAAACAAAAATGTAGGTGTGCAAATACTTTTTTTACCCACAGTATGTAGGTTTTCCTCTTGTTTAATGGCCAGCGGTCGTCTGGGGTCAGCACTCACGGGCCTTGAGCACATATAGGTACCCGACTAGCTCAGTTGCCTCCCGCCCCCTGAGAGAGATCATCGAATGAGGGTCTCCCAACCCTCTTTCCCTACCTTCAACCTCTATAAAAGCTAATGTAATGATATAATATTAAAGGTCAATTATTCTACCAGTATAAAGCTAATATAATATTAAACATCGTATAATAATGCTATCCTTATAAATGCAGCATAGCATTATTATATGATATTTAACATTTTATTAGCTTTATGTTATATTTTTTATTATTGTATACTTTTATGGTATTTTATTTAATATTTTATAGCTTATATTTGAATTTAATTTAATATATATTTTATTTCATTATTATTTTACTCTATTAATAATGAATTAATACAATATTTTTTTCCTCTATGGTAAAATATATTTATTTATCTAGAAGAAAAAATAATTATTTAATTTCACAGATCCTTTCAAAATACACTGTTGTAACAAAATACATTGTAATAATATATAACAAAATATAATCATGGTAATAAGAAATTGTAACAAAAATTGCAAATGTAATAAGGAATTGTAATAATTTACAGTGGTGGCCAAAATTGTGGACACTTTTGGAAATTTTTATGTTTTTGAACTTTGTATGCTTATAGAAAATGTTACGTTTCGCAAAATGCAAACTTGTATATATCATTTTAAAGAGGATTTATTACTGAATTCAATACAAAACACAAAATTCAATTATTTGCAATACGAAAAAAGTTATATGTACTTTAATATAAATAAAAAATCTGATGTGTACACCACATGACTTCCTTGTACGGATACGCATTTTTTCTTGCATTTCATTTAAACTTATTGGATTGAATTAAATCTACTTCCCCGACAGCGCATAAACCACAATAGAATAAATGCATTCTTTAAAATTTACTCTACTATTTGTTTACCACAGCAACACTCCGGCGCTAGATTCACTTAACAGTATTAATAATTATATAACAGTTAATTTATATAATAATTATATAACGGAAACTAACTGTTATATAATCCAATAATTATAGAACAGTTAATGTATATATTTCGTTCATATTATAACTCATAATGCACAAAATTTATATCATTTAAAGAATAGAATTATCTAATCGTTGCCACATGTTTTATTCAAATACTATAATAAAGCTAGAATGATGTATAAAAGAAATTAAGCAAACAAAACTAAAAAGAAACAGTTTTTCACAGACGATTGAGTATTTTTCATTTAATTAATTCAGTTCTCACTTCGCGAGAAGGCAAAAATACATAAAAACTCAAATATCTATATTAAAAATTACGAAGTAAATCTCAAACACTTATTTCCTCGAAAAAATTCCAGAAAGAATTAAGCATGATTTAATTGGCAATAATAAATGAATGCATTATCTTTGTTGTTGCGAAGCTAAGTTTCTCTAGATTGGCAACAAATCCACTAGTCTCCTGTTTCAAATGTAAACATCAATGGCCGCCATAAAAAAAAAAGGCTTAGCGGCACTTACACAAATTTAAAATTGTTGATAATTCTAAAAATATTGCACACAGATTTACTAAAGACATAAAAACCTTAACCGGAAGATAAAATCAACATAATGCAATCATTTTTAAAGCAAAAAATGTACAATTTACAAACATATAAGAGTAAAGAAACTGAGATCACTGAGCCGGGTAACAGAGTGGATATATATATAAATATATTTATATACGTTTGGTGCGGCCGATTGCAACCAAAATACGAGGTGCACATCTACATGTTATAGCAGTCCTATATACAAAATTTCAACGTTCTGAGGCTATTCGTTTTTGAGTTATGCGAGATACGTTACGTACATACGTTCGTACAGACGCCACGAAAAATTCTCTTCAGAATTAATTTTAAAGCAGTTTTATAATTTTTTTGAAGGAAAAGAGTATTTTATTCTATCCTTACGTACAGATATCATGAAAAACATCATTAAATTGCATTCGATAGCGGTAAAAATGGATAATTTTCGTCGAAATATGTTGCCTGAAACTTTTCGCGATTACTATACTTCCTTTTTACTTCGTACAAGGAAGTAAAAACACAGTTATGAAGTGGTTTGTAATGTCTAGCTTTCCTAGTCAATCACTGTTCTTGTTCTGAGACCAATCAAATGTTAGTAACTGCCAGTAGAAGCTGACATCATGTTTACACTTGAAACAATTCATTATTTTGCTTTGTTCTGTAGAAGAAGGACCTGTTACTTATACACTGCAATTACAAGTAGGAAGTTTTGTAAAAATTTTTAATATTAAGTCAAGAAGCAATGACATCAAATAAAAGAGTAGATTGGACACCTAGAAAAAGATGTAATATTATTATGTTACGAGAAAGTGGTCTTTCCTATGCTGAAATTGCAAGACAGGTGGGTGGTTCAGTGACTACATCTGGAGTCCGAAAGTTTTGTTTACGATATCAGGAGATAAATTCAATAAAAAAACAAAGAACGAATAGGCCAAAAAAGGTGCACCACATCTATTGATGACAGAAGAATAAAAAGACTATGTCTCTAAGATAGAAAAATGTCATCAGCGGCCATCAGAAGTGATATGAATGATGCTGGTGTTTCTTTCAGTTCAAGAACAATCAGGAGAAGATTAACAGATGTTGGACTGAGAGGTAGAATTCCACGAAAAAAGCCTTATCTTAATTTTCAGCAAAGAAAAAAAAGACTACAGTGGGCAAAAGGAACACATTAAATTGGACAGATGATCAGTGGTCACAAGTTATATGGAGTGATGAAACTAAGATATCGTTATTCAACAGTGATGGGCGAAAATATGTAAGACGTAGAATAGGAGAAGAGCTACATCCTAACTGCATTCAAGCAACTGTGAAGAACCCAGTTAGTGTTATAATTTGGTCATGCATGTCAGCAGATGGTATTGGTCGCCTTCATGTCATCGATGGGACACTGAATGCCAGAAAATACATTGACACTATTCTAGAACCAAAACTTCTACCTTCCATCAGAGATCTCTTTTCCAACAATGCTTCGTATATTTTTCAGCAAGATTCTGCTCCTTGCCACTCGGCCAAAATATCGAAAGAGTGGTTTCGTACAAAGAGCATTAAATTGTTGTCATGGCCAGGAAACAGTCCTGACCTCAATCCTATCGAAAATTTGTGGCGCCGTTTGAAAACTCTTGTTCAAATGAGGCGCCCATCAAATAAAAGGGAACTAATTGAGGTTATAATTGTTTCCTGGCAT